ATACAAGCTACTCATCCCAAGACCTCGATCGGCTCTACCCATCAAACCAATCACAACACTCACAGCCAATCCAAGCTCACGTCTACTGGCCATCTGCTCAACAGACCAAGTCTCAGTACTCAGTCTACCCAGGACAGAGGAACACTCAGACTCGAGCACTCAGATCGAATGCCAGACGACCAAGATCGGAGCTGAGGATGACCAGGACGATCGACGTGAACCGATCACCAAGGTACTCTGGCATCCATGGAGTCATCGAGCCAGTACTCTGCTCATTCTCCACTCCAACGGAATCCTACTCGAGTTCGACGTCTCCAGGGACACACTCAACCCAACTCAGACCATCGACTTCAACTCACCCTACAGCCTCCTGACCGAATCATATCACCATCATCCAAGCTACTCTCAGGCTGGAATCGCGTCAACCGAACCATTTGAATGCCATCCCTCGCTGATCTCTAGCTTCCAACAGGTCTCCTTGAACTCATCATCAACCAAGAAATCTCTGATCGGCCTATCAAAACATCCACAACGCTCTTCTACACCACTCGGGAGTCCGAAAGCCAGCAGATCCAAACCACGGCTATCCAGATCGATACCACCCTCTGCTAAAAATCATCGGTCTACTTCCCAGGGAACCTATGGAGCAGCAGACCGCGCTTCATCCACTGCCGTCTCGTTATGCTTCGGAACTGGTGCTGGCGACTGGGGCCCTCTAACACTCTATGCCATCATGCTCAACGGAGATATGTATGCTATCTGTCCCTATCTACCCAAAAACGCGTCAGTTTCATTTTTCTTGTCTGAATAATCCATTTCAAACAGCCTAGTTGAACCTCTATTCTCTATATGGTATTCAGGGTGATTCCCCTTTCGTACAGGAACTCATTACTATTTTTCTTGACGGCGAAACTTCAGTCGATCTCGAATACACAGGGGACGGGGAAGAGCTTGATGGATCTACAAGGGCCCTTAGAGCGCTCGTTAGACTATTTGAATTCGCTCTCGGACGTTCCGGATGAGCCGATAGATGAAGGAGATCTAGAGGCAGATTGCGAAAATGAGGAAGAGGAAGGCGTGAAAAGGAATCGGAGGAAAGAGACGTTCGAGGCCCTCCTCACGCCACTCCGACAGGGTCCGTTCTTAATGACCCCCTCGCCGATCGAGACGAACGAGAACGAGGAGGAAACGGTCTCCGATCTGCTCCACTTCCGCTATTCATCATCGCCCACTAATCAGAGGAACTCCACCGCGGAGCCGACTCTCTCGGATCCAAATAACACCGGCCTGGGGGTGTTCATGATAGCCTACCAGAGCCGGATCGATGTCTGTCTAGAAGTAGAGAAGATCGAGCCACGTTGGGTGTCAGTTTCCGACGTGGACGCGAAAGCTGCAACAACAACAACGACGACGACTGAGTTGCCGATGCTAGTCACCTACGAATGCATTGATCTGAGGCTTATGGATAGCGGCCGCTCGGAGTGTATAGGTGGGACGAGTCCGCTGCGCATGTCCGTAGACGCGCGGTACAATGACACGATCTACGTGTCCCATCGGTGCGGGATCCATGGGATGTCAATGCAGGGCTGGTTGGAGAGTCTTTTGGCCGGGGAGGCCGACTCGGGACGGCTCGGTGACATTATCGGGGAGAGGACCGGCAGCCTGGTTGGCTGGCTGGTTCAGACTGCCTCTAGTGGGGACTCAACCTCCCAGGGCGCGCCTGGGATAGCCGGGGTTAGTGTGATCGATGACGCGTATCTGGGGTACAGTCTCATGGCGCTCACCGACGATGGCCAGCTAGTTGTGCTACCGCTCAAGCATCGGCCCATGGGACTCTCAACGGGGGCTCTCACGGGAGGAAAACCGGAGACGGCCAGGCCGGTCCTGCAGCTTATGCCACCACCACCGGTCGAACGCCGGTCGATGAGTCGGGGCCCGTCCGGCTTGTTAGGCGATGGCTGGACGGTCCCGGTGCCTTTGGCGAGCGATGCACGGGGACCAGGACTCAGTAGACCACCGGCCGACTCATCCACCGTCACATCTGCCATGCTTCGCTACGGACTCCAAGTTTCCAACCGAGTCGACCACTACATCCGTCATCTCGTCGAAGCCATCAACCTGGGGCAAAGCCGACTGGCACTACAAATCCAAGAATTCCAATGCCAGATCCGCAAGTTAAACCAGTATCCTTCCCGTCTAGACGCCCTCGATCAACACCTTCAAGCCCAACTCGATCGGATCGAGAACATCCATGCCAACCAGAAAAAACTGCTCAAGAAGGCAGACCTCGTCTTGCAAAAATTGGTCGATGACCGTAATCGGATCCTCTCGAGAGAAGAAGTTCGGTGGTTTGCTGAGCTCGATAGGATGTTTGGCGAGGTCTTTGGCGACCCTGATGGCGATAAAAAGGGCCTTAAATCACTGATCGATCAGGTTTGTTATACACCACTCTTCCTCTTGATTATCAACCATCCTCACAACACAAAAACAAGAATAGGAGAGGGTTTCAGCTGATGAAGGAAGAGTAAAACCGATCTAAATGTTAAATCTTGTATAGTTAAAGAGTCAATTAGAGGCGACCAAGGCCCGAATCCGACCGGCCCATGAAGACCAACTAAGCAGTCGAACCAACGGCAGAGGAAAGACGCCGATGACAGCTCCCACGAATCCGGAAGGAATAGCAGGCGTGGGCAAGAAGATGGGCGAGAGCCAATTGGTGCCGATTTACCATAAACTTGAACAAGCGTTCTTGAGTCCCCTTTCCCTCCTCTTTTCTCTCCCCCATCTCCTCCTCCTTACGTCCAAATATATTGACATTCTTTTGCTTTTTTTTTGCTTGTTTTGTTGTAGCAATGGTTGTTTGGCGATCATCCATGATCAGATCGCCAAGATTAATAAGACTTTGGCCGGGCGACCATCGGCTTGATCTTCCGATCTTATATCTCACCTCCTTCTGCTTATCAATCTGTTGTCTGACCAGCTTGCTTTTTTGTTCTTGCTTCGGTCATGGGAATCGTGGTTGCTTGAGCTTGATCTTGATAGGAGGATCATTGAGTGTGTGTCTGTGTGAATTCCAGACTACAACAACTATCGATTTTGGATACATATCATTATAATTAAAAAAATCAATTAATTACATTGTATAGACTTCTAGTGTTGAAGGATCTACATTAGAAAATATAGATGAGTAAGTACACAAACGCAGTGCTGTGTTCATGTCAGAGAAATTGGTTCTCAAAATTATATTTCTAGCGATGGCATGTGGTGGGCATCTACCAAAATATGTCAACCAAGAAGACGTATGCTGGTTATCAAACCGTTCATTCATTGAAACATCTGTCACCTTCCAGATCTACTTTTCTGAGATTGATATATCTGCCTTTGATAGGGGAACTGGCACTGCAACGGCAAGAGGGCTTTTGCAGAATGTTTTTTATTGATTTACATTTTTTACACATTGCCCCCCAAAAACGAAAAAAGAGAAAAAAAAGAAGCAGGACCAAAATACTTCTTCGACCCACATAAAAGAAAACTTACTCCAGAAGAGAAAAATACAAGAAGAAATGACTGGAATAAATCTGTTCTTTGATTGGATTGAGAAAAAAAAAAGGAATTCACGTGCAGAATGGTAAGGAAGAAGAGTAGACAAGAGGATGAAATGCGGGGTTAAACGGATTTCAAGGGTAAAGTGTATTGGAATTCTTGAGAATGTTCGTGATTGTACTAAGAGAGAGAAGGGAAAAGAGAGGAGCAGAAAAGACCAGTCAGGATGGCGGCCGAGCATGATTCAGAAGGGAATAGACAAGATGTAGGGAGAGAAGACGAACCATGTCCAGGGCAACCTCGCAGCTTTCGCGGACTACCCGGCTCTGCTCTTCCGGTGATGCATGGGCCTTCAGGGTTGTTAATACTTCGGGCGTCGCGATCGAGCCGAGTGCTTCTGCCGCTTCGTGTCGGACCATCTCATCTTCTTGCTTCTATTATTATCAACAACAAAAAAATCCGTAAGAGTCAATCGACATCTTTAGTATTTGAGCCCATCGAGTTCACTTGAGAAGTCTCACAAGGAGAAAGGAAAGTAAGAACATACATTTTCGAGAACTTTTACTAAGGCGGGAACTGATAACGGGTGCGAGAGTTGCCCGAAAACGTAAGCGATTTCGTGACTTGAGAAAGGAAGAATAGATACGATATTTTGTTTCAGTCAATCTGATTAATGGTTCTGGGCCAATGTTTTCCGATTGGCGACCGATTGAAAAAACAGTCTCTTACCGGAACAGAGCGCTAGGGTCAGAGAAGCCATCGGCGAGGGCGTCGATAGCGATCCCATCGAGTTCGTCGTTTTCAGAGGCCCTACGGACGGCGTCCCTGAGACCGAACATAGCTCGATAGCGTTCGAAGAGAGATTTCTGTTGGTCCAGAAGTTGGAACTTCATCTTGATCAAGTCGTTCCGTCCTAGATCTGTGGCCGAAGTGTCGTGGAAACTCTTGATCATCGATGGCGCAGGATCAATCGTCCCATACACTCCCGCCTCATTCGCCTTGAAGCTCTCATTCCCTTCGATCTTCTCAATTGCCAGTTCACACGTCTCGCGCACTGATACTTCTTCATCTTTCAGAAACTCGCGTAAGATTCCTAATGAAATCGGATTTCCAATCGCTCCCATCGCCTCAGCTGCCTTTTTGTTTTGAGCAGATGAGAGAGAGAAAACGAAAACGTGACGATTGGTTAGGATTTTCTGGACCAATCTGAAATACATAAATGAATAAAATAACTGACCTCATGGCGGACCATAGGATGAACAGAAGTATCCCGGAGAGTGGCTTCGAGTACGGGCAAGGCAGTAGGATCAGCGATCTGACCAAGACAGTACGCCAATTCATGACCAAGGAGCGCTTGAGGTTGATCAGAACTATCTTTTGAAGGTCTCAAGGCGTCTCCAATCGCCTTGACAGCTGGTGGGGAACCGATAGCCTTGAGGGTGAACAATGCTCGGAATCTTGAGGCTAGTGGGACGGTGCCTGTTCGGTTGGTTAGAGTCGAATGTAGCTCATTAATCTCGTCTTCTGTCACGCTTAGGACCGTCATCGTTTCTATCTTCTGTTTGTTGATGGTGGTGTCGAATTCAGATAGAGCCTCGGATAATGTTGGATGATGGTTTTGTGGGAGGTTGGTGGTGGTCAAGGCAATGGCGGACTGCTGTTCTTCTGTTTCTTGAAAAACTGTTGATATTGAATATGCATAAAGACCAGCTGCGCATGTGACAGAACACATCAGCCTATGTGACAGGGCACACCAGCCTGGGGTGTCACAGCCCACCCACACCTTGGCCAGAGACACTTGTACTCGCCAATTGGACCCGCAGGGCAAACACACACCGACCAAACTTACAAAAAAATCAGCACAACCGCAGGAGAAAAAGAAAAACAAATCCAGCTCATTTTCCGATGCCTAAATCAAGTGGGTCAGTTCGTGGCCTTTCAATCAGCTTTCCAACCAACAGAGACACCGAAGGACTGACTAAATTTGATGTATCTACATTTTGTTTTGGGCTAAAACAGAACGACAGACGATCGTCCATCTCTCCAAGACCTCAAAGAAGACTAAAGAAGTCAAAGCCAAGTTGATCGAACAAATTAAAGAAGCATCCGAAAACTTTCAATTCGTGTGGCTGTTCACCGTCGATCATGTTCGGACTGCTTATCTACAGGACATTCGCTCTTCTTGGAAACCATCTCGGTACGTTTTCATTTGATTCAAAAAAAACACAGACAAAAAAACTCAAATCAGACGATGTTCTCAACAAAAAATGACTTCTGCTGGCTTTCATTTCATGCGCTTCATTTTCCAGGATCTTCATGGGCAGGAATGCTGTCATGAGGTTAGGATTAGGTTCGAAAGAGGAAGATGAGCACATGCCTGGGCTAGGCGCAATCGGCAAGGTACAATCATAAAATAAATAACTTGACCTCACAAGAACCTTCACTGAACTATCAATCTTTCTTCCTTCCATTTAGCTATTGGAAGGTGATACCGGGTTATTGTTCACAAATGAGCCTCCTAAAGTGGTAGTCGAATGGTTCGATGATTATGTCAAAGCGGACTATGCACGGAAAGGTAATCTAGCAACTGAGACTGTAGAACTCCCAGCTGGTCGGTCACATTTCCCTTCATATTTTCATCTTACCAAAAAAAAAATGTGTGCAATCAGAGATAGTGGCAAGAAGAACTGATACGCATGAAAAATCAACTGCAGGCCCAGTGATGATCAAGGAGATCAACGATGAGCCGTCGGTAGCCGCGGGAGCGTTGGAGCCCCACTTACGAGCTCTCGGCTTACCCACGACCCTTCAATCCCGAATCCCAACCCTCTCCTCTCCTCATGTGGTCTGCAAAGAGGGCGAAAAACTCGACACTAATCAGGCCGGTCTGCTCAAGACCTTGGGTTACCAGATGGCCCAATTCAAAATCGTGCTTAGTCACGTCTGGATTAAAGACCGGTCGACCACTTTCTCTATAGATCAGATCAGGGATCAACTGAAATAGTCTCTCATCTCCATTTCCTGTTCACCTTTCTTCTCCTCTACATCCTTATTAGTCTTGCTTTTTTTTTTCTCTCGTCTATGAAATTACGATCACTTCGCGGCTTCCTTCTCTCTTATTCTCAGCCGCTCTTCTACCACCGTCCTGTCTGTTTCTTTTTCACTTTCCAAGATATGTGACACATATCGCATCGAATCTGTCGATTGTCTTAATGTCGCCCATCGTTCCACAGGTTCCTGTTTATTGACCGGCCTTCTTCGGCCCTTCAGACCTATTAAGAAGGAACGCCCCAAGTCAAACACCTTTGTAACGCTGCCATGCACGTCGCTCTAACTAATGCTCCGGAGCTGGTGTCATCATAACACCACGGACAATTGCATGTCGCTCCCGCGCGGAGCGACATCTGGGGGTTTCATTGGGGGTTTCGTGCGCAGTCACTGCGCCTACTGCCGCAGTCACGCACGCGGATTCGTCAAGGTGACGGTTACATCCGCGGCGACACGCAAATGACCGTGGTGTAAGCGTTGTTGGTGTAGTGGTTAGCATTGAAGCCTTCCACTGCTCCATCCTCAGGATGAAGATGATGAAAGAACAGCTTTAGTCCGGGGTTCGAATCCCCGATAACGCACTTGTTTTTGTCCGTCATAGAAGCTGTTGTGATCTTTTTCAGCAGTCATATGGTCCCAAATGATCCTTGTGATTGCCTTGGGAAGTGCACTGAACAGCTCAATCCGTTTTTGTCACAAAGGTTGTTGGGTTATTGGAACTGGATTGAGGAGGTATGAGAAACACCAGACAGCAGCGGTGAGCTAGGAGGCTGTAATGGGAGGCCGATGAGAGCTGATGGAGGGAGAAAGAAGAAATGACTAAGCACCTATTCAGGTGTGAGGGAAATGACAAGACAGATGAGTGAAAAAAAGAGAAAGGAAAGAGAACAAGTGATACAACATAGAGCTAGATACAGTGGTGGGCCGCTACACTTTTGGCCCAAAAAGTGTAGCGCAGAGGTGCTTTTTTTCATCCAAAAACCGTAGTGTTAGCGGGTTTTTAGCGGTTTTTCGCTACGCTACAGCACTTTTAGCGGAAAAAGTGGCCAAAAACCGCTGTAGCGCAGCGTAGTGGGCCCTTTTTTGCGGCCCACACGCGTAGTGTTAGCGGTGTTGTGGCAGAATTCCACTACGCTACGCTAATTGCTAACAGCAGTTCCGCTGCGTTACGCTACACTAACCGCTACGGTTAGTGTAGCGGCCCACCGTTGCTAGATACATGAACCATAACCTAATGATCTAATCTAGCGATATATAAGGTTGTATCGCTCTTTTCCCCACTTGACTCAACACTGCCAGTAAAGGTACTGTAGCGGTAAAGTAGTGTTTTTTTGTCACCAGCACTACTTTTCCTGTAGCGCAAATGCAGTACATTATTATTTTCTTTTTTTGCTGTTTTTTTTTGGCTGTTACACTATTGCAGCGTCTGTTTTTTGTATTTTTTATTGCATTAAGGTAGAGAGGAGATGACAAGAGAAAAATCACTGTTAGGAAGACAAATGTAGGAGAGAGGAACATTCATATGAGCAAGTAAGATGAATAATAATTAATATTGGATGATATTAAATAATGTTGAAGATGATTTTTGTGAAGAATCAAGATGGATGGGGTTGGGGGCAAAGGGCACAATCAATGGATGGCTGCTAGCAGGTTGGGATGCTTAAACAACAAGGCTGGACCGGTTCCTCATCAGATTAGGGCTGTTTCACCCCTGGATGGTGCGTAATATGTAGCACCTGACCTGCAAGGAAGGTACTATTGTCCATGTGCACGGACTATTCTGATACAGTTGGCTTTGAAATGGTCTGGACTAGTCCAAGAACATGGAAAGCAGATGAGCGCGAGAAGTTTAAAGGTCTTTCCCCAGAACACTTTATACATTCACTTTATCCCTCATCTCGCCTTCTCTATCAATCAACTTATCAGAACACATTCCCCCAATCTTTACCATCAAACTCAAATCCTCTACAAGGAAATTTTTGAGCAAAAACACTCACTCGGATTACAACACTCACTTCCCATAACAGTCACTAACACCCACCCGGTTTACAACACCCACTTCCCATAACACTCACTAAAAACACCAAAGACAAACACCAAAGACACCATGGTCGAATCAAATATCACGCGCGCAACATCCAAGAAGATCAAAGAATCCACCGGCGCCAGCGGTAATAAAGATAAGTTAGAAGACATTGCCATCACGAACGCATTGATCCCATCGGACGGGCAAGCAGATATTGTTCGAGCCCAAGAGAGCATAGCCAAACAAGCCCACGGCGGACCCGGACAAGCCCATAGTGGCACAAGCCAAGCCCATACTGGCATCAGTCAGGCCCAAAGCGACTTTAGTCAAGCCCACAGTGGCAATGTTCATGAACACTCTAACGATGAAATACGAGCAGGTGGTGAGTAAAGTCGCGAGCGATTATCCGCATCCTTCCCCTTTTAAGTCGCGAGCGATTATCCGCATATTTCTGAGCGGTCATTCGCATTAGAGTAAAGCCATTATTAACATGTGTCTCGGTTGTCAAATCTGTAGACGTTCTGTACTCCTCAATAACAGACATCAGCGAATCACGCAGAGATCGAGCCCATGCGGCAATGCATATACCGATCCCTTTAGACAAGAATCACAGCGAGACACGCAATGACCGAGCCCAAGTGGCAGTAAACGTACCGGGAGAAGCGGAAGAGATAGTCGTAGACAGATCCCCAGGTAAGCTGTCGTATACGTTCAGCAGAGGGATCCACTTAGCAGAGTAAACACTCAGCTGATCATGTTTGCGATGCTCTAGCAATAATTTCATCATCTGTATCATCGACCTTGATGAACGAACGTCAGGAGATGTGGAATCGCGCGACCGCCGCCCAAGACGCAGGCGATACCGCCCTTGCTGAGATGCTGTTTAAAGCCATTGGAGCAATCACCTCGCAACGCTTCACGGTGCAAGAGACACCCAGAGCGAGCAACGTCGCAGAGCCGTTTGCAGTCCCGAAGTACAATGGTTTGACCGGTGTCACATACCACCCTCCTCAATTGATCCAACATGCAGATACATCGTCCCACTCAGCTGCAAAAAAGTTCTTCCTGACCAAAGGAGACCTCGTTTACGCTATCGGGTCGGTCACAAACCACAATAGCGTCGGTTTCGCCCCTTTCCTAGATGAAAACATCAGGAAGCTGAGATCACCGTTACCGTTGACCATTTTCAACCGCAAATGGCAACAACGAGCGATGGCCCACCATTTAGACAGACGCCAGAGATCGGACGAATCTTCGAACGACAAAGATAAGTCGGGTGGCTATAAAGGATTCGCGTTTATCCAAGAATGGACCCAGACATACGCGCAATGGACTCAAAACCACCGAGCATTCCGCAAGACTTTACACGACGTGTACAAGATCATAGAATTCTCCAAGTTGCTTGGGACCCACAAGAACAACTGCGATGATATAACAGAAGAGTTCGGGTTCATGGTAGCTTTCAGATACGACATGGAAGTCCGCAACAACACTTTCTCACATCGGATCACGGACGAAGACGTCAAGAACGCCATCCCAGACATTTCTCAACGTAAGGATTCCGTCGTAGAGCAATGCTACAATCAATGTAGAAATTTCGGAGAATTAGACTGGGAAGAGAACCTCTACGCCCCAGGACTCTCCCACGCGAACTATGACCCCCTCACAGGGTGCCTAAGACAGCAACGCCAGGCGCAATTCCCCACCAACAATCATATGATAAATAACCCGTACATGCAACAACATCATATGCAGAACAATTTCATTAACCAGAACTACAACAGCAACTATCAACAAAGAAACCATAACGGCAATGGTGGAGGGCCGAATGGGGGAGGACAGTTTTATAATCAAGGCTACAGCAAGCAAGGCAACCCCGAAGGAAATAAACGCCCACGTGGCGGTTACCGCGGGTCCAATTTCTCTGAGAACCCACAAGGCAAATCAGACGGGCATAGAAGGAATAACCTGAAGTAGGTTTAGCGAGTTTCTTCTCATGCGCCGAGTTTTTGTTTCCACATTGTAATGTGCCTACTCGCATAGCAGTTGTTTAATATGAGAATTGATGTTTGTACGCTCGACGCACAAACTCATCGCTGGTCTGAGTCTTTCATCATACTGTTTGTTCCACTTATTGATTCTTGATTCTTATTTCCCTTCGTTTATGTGCCATCTTCCTCGATGATCTATCTCAACCGTCTTTATCTTTTTTCAACTCGTTTGTTTCTGTAACTGGAATTCACATATGATCAAATGTGTGAACAGTTGGCCTATTCGCGCCTCATGTGAGATGAACATAACGTTGTGGCAAGAGGCCCTCAAGAATGCAGGATTGGCCAATGAGTACAGCGATGTACTACACGGTTTTAGGTATGGGTTTAACCAAGGGATACCAGACCACAAGATAGGAAATTTATCATGGTTCACCCCAGATAATCACCTTTCATCATCCTTGGCTAGAGAGAAGATAACAGATTCCATGAAAAAAGAAATCGACGCTAAGCGGATGTACGGACCTTTCACTCATGAAGAAGCCTACGCACACTTCGGATTCTTTCGTTCAAGCCCATTAGGAGCAGTGGTGAATGGTGACGGATCGGTTAGACCAATCAATGATCTATCTTTTCCGAGGAATGACTCCTACATTCCCTCAGTAAACTCGTTTGTGGATAAAGACGACTTCAAGACAACGTGGGATGATTTCAACACGGTAGCATCCTTTTTCAAAAATTTGAAGAACCCAGTAGAGCTAGCCTTATTTGACTGGGAGAAAGCGTATCGACAGATACCAACTCACCCATCACAATGGAGGTATCTCATGGTTATGGGTTTAGACGACAAACTGTACCTGGATACAAGAATCACCTTTGGAGGGGTGGCAGGGTGTGGCTCGTTCGGGCGCCCAGCCGATGCTTGGAAACGTATCATGGAAGAAGAGTTCGATCTCATTAAAGTATTTAGATGGGTCGATGATAACCTCTTCATTAGGAAATTGACATCAACGGCTAGCATGACGAACATAATCAACAGATCTATACAACTAGGGGTTTTAACAAACGAGAAGAAATGTTCCTCGTTTTCAGACGAACAGAAATTCATCGGTTTCATATGGAGCGGTAAAGACAAGACTGTGAGGTTACCAGAGATAAAACTGGCGGACAGGAAGCGACAGATACAAGAGTTCAAAGACACATCGAAGAAATTCTCATTCAACGAAGTAGAAATTTTGACCGGAAGACTCAACCATGTCTCATACATCTTACCTCAATTGAGATGCTACTTAAGAGCGCTATATAGGTGGATGTCAAATTGGTTTGACTTGCATGCAAAACGTAAAACTCCACTAGACGTTTTAGAAGATTTATCAAGATGGGAGTCGACCTTAGAATCATTTCAAGGGACTCGATTGATCATCCCTTCGGAACCTAGAGAAATCGGTTGGGTAGGCGATGCCTCATCGAGCTTCGGAGTCGGAGTACTCGTTGGGAAATACTGGTCTCAACTGAGCCTACAAGAGAAGTGGTTCAGTAGCGGTAACGTCCGAACAATCGCATGGTTGGAAACAGTTGCGGTAAGGGTAGGTTTGTTGATGTTATTATACTTGAAGAGACACAGAAAAGGGTCCAATGTCATTGTCTGGACAGACAATACTACAGCGGAATCAGTGATTGAAAAGAGGAAGTCAAAGGATGAGGGAGTGAACAAAGAGTGGAAGTGGATACAGGACACACTCATTCAGGAGCAGTTTGACATAACGGGACACAGAGTTACGTCAAAGAATAATGTCGCGGATGCCTTGTCGAGGGGTATCGTGGGAAATCTGAAGACGGAGAACAGGGTCCACTTCCCGTTACCAGAGGATTGGGAAGGGTGGTTATCTCATTCAAAGTAAACTATTTAAGAACTCTATTGTCCTCTGTAATCTGTTAGCTAGGATCATCCAAGTACCCGATATCTGTTCTTTCCCTCTGTTCTTTCCCTACATACAAGAATTATTAGTCAAATAAGCTATAATGGAAACTGGTACAATAATAGACTCGAGCGCTTTAACTATTAATCATTTAAACAAAATTAAAGCTTTCGTTGCGAAAGGCACGACTCATCACCCGGTATCGGCCCTAAATGCACACCTACTATCAGGGTGGAAATGGAATACATTGATAGGATATAACGCTGCTGTTAAGAAATTCATATTCTTCAAGAACTTGTCAGGAGACCACGACTTCGTTCTGCCAGCTACGAGTAAAGATATAGAAGATTTTTGTTTTTGGGCAGGAAGAAACCTTTACTTAAACAACTCTTACAAAATATCGGCGAGTTCAATTAGGAAGTACTTATGCGGCATAAAGGCATGGCACACTTTCCATGACACGTTGTACCCAGAAATAGCGGATAAACGAATCGAATTATTACTGAAGGCATCGGCTAAAGTGGACGCGACTAAACCGCTCAAACCAAAGAAACCGGCGATAATGTTGAAACATCTAATATGGCTGTCAAACATGTTATTTCCGGGTGGAAAGGCCGACAAAGCGATAATGGATTTGGCGATCGTGGCTTTTTGGGGTATGGCCAGAATCGGAGAATTGACATACAGTAAACCTACGGGATCAATTGAAAGTCAACTGTCACTTTTAACGACAGACGCTCGTATTGTGAATTCGGCAATCGGAGAGAAAGTCATTTTGACGGTACGTAACGCAAAAACGGCAACACCGGGTAAACCTCAAGAAATAGTCTTACATAGCTTGAAAAACATGTTATGTCCGGTTTTGGCGATTAAAAGAAGACTGGAAGAAGCAGCAGGACAAAAAACGTCCCTTTTTGGTTTTTTCTGCGGCGATACCCGAAAACACCTGACACGATCGATTGCCGTAAATCGAATTCAATTAGTCTTGAGATCAGGAGGATTCGATGGGTTGTTAGGCCATTCCTTTCGGGTCGGGGGAGCATCGTTGCGGTTTGCACTTGGAACACCTGTAGATGAAATATGCGTTTTAGGCAGATGGGTGTTGAATTGCTATAAGTTATACATTAGAGAGTATGACAATTCTTCACTTCTCGAATCAAAAAAGATTATAGAGGAGTTAAACGAGTTATGGGACGAGGATTGATACTGCTGGTTTTTTGCATGTCATTTTGTTTCGGAGAGTAGGGTTTGATCACTAGGCTCAGGCTCCTCACATCATGTTGTTCCCTGAGTTATAGGCTTCTTTGCTCCAAACCTATCTCCTATTAGAAATAAAAATTAATTAAAAGTAAAAAATAAAAATAAAAATTATGTCAAAACAAAGCAAAAACAAGTGTCTTCCTTTGGTCATTAAGATCTAACTCATCATTTCAACAGAAATTGATTCATGATGTCTTGTTCTTATTAACACCCAAACTCGGATACCTGGAGGAACTAGTTCCACAGCTAACCTAGGGGATATGCTGCGGCGTATCCCTGACAAGAGTACCTTAGGAAAGATTGTAGTGCTAAATGGATATGTAGCACCTGACCTGCAAGGAAGGTACTATTGTCCATGTGCACGGACTATTCTGATACAGTTGGCTTTGAAATGGTCTGGACTAGTCCAAGAACATGGAAAGCAGATGAGCGCGAGAAGTTTAAAGGTCTTTCCCCAGAACACTTTATACATTCACTTTACTCCTCATCTCGCCTTCTCTATCAATCAACTTATCAGAACACATTCCCCAATCTTTACCATCAAACTCAAATCCTCTACAAGGAAAATTTTGAGCACCTCCCACCCACCCAATTTTTACATTCAATACTAAGTTTGGACAGCTTCTTTGCTCCAAACCTATCTCCTACAGTGACCCCGCCTTGTAAGCATACACGATATAAGCATACCCGCGTTGTAAGCATAGCATAAATATTGATTTCCAGCAACCATTTTCTTGGTTTTGCAGTAAAATTACCTCCATAAGAAGCATACCTCCATGTAAGCATAGGATTTGTGTCGACCATCCTTATGCTTACATAGCGGGGTCACTGTATTAGAAATAAAAATTAATTAAAAGTAAAAAATAAAAATAAAAATTATGTCAAAACAAAGCAAAAACAAGTGTCTTCCTTTGGTCATTAAGATCTAACTCATCATTTCAACAGAAATTGATTCATGATGTCTTGTTCTTATTAACACCCAAACTCGGATACCTGGAGGAACTAGTTCCACAGCTAACCTAGGGGATATGCTGCGGCGTATCCCTGACAAGAGTACCTTAGGAAAGATTGTAGTGCTAAATGGATATGTAGCACCTGACCTGCAAGGAAGGTACTATTGTCCATGTGCACGGACTATTCTGATACAGTTGGCTTTGAAATGGTCTGGACTAGTCCAAGAACATGGAAAGCAGATGAGCGCGAGAAGTTTAAAGGTCTTTCCCCAGAACACTTTATACATTCACTTTATCCCTCATCTCGCCTTCTCTATCAATCAACTTATCAGAACACATTCCCCCAATCTTTACCATCAAACTCAAATCCTCTACAAGGAAATTTTTGAGCACCTCCCACCCACCCAATTTTTACATTCAATACTAAGTTTGGACAGCTTCTTTGCTCCAAACCTATCTCCTACAGTGACCCCGCCTTGTAAGCATACACGATATAAGCATAACCGCGTTGTAAGCATAGCATAAATATTGATTTCCAGCAACCATTTTCTTGGTTTTGCAGTAAAATTACCTCCATAAGAAGCATACCTCCATGTAAGCATAGGATTTGTGTCGACCATCCTTATGCTTACATAGCGGGGTCACTGTATTAGAAATAAAAATTAATTAAAAGTAAAAAATAAAAATAAAAATTATGTCAAAACAAAGCAAAAACAAGTGTCTTCCTTTGGTCATTAAGATCTAACTCATCATTTCAACAGAAATTGATTCATGATGTCTTGTTCTTATTAACACCCAAACTCGGATACCTGGAGGAACTAGTTCCACAGCTAACCTAGGGGATATGCTGCGGCGTATCCCTGACAAGAGTACCTTAGGAAAGATTGTAGTGCTAAATGGACACAATATCCAGGGGTGAAGCTGTTACAAAATCAGATTTTGGCAATCTCAAAAAGAGGGGCCCAGTTACGCTACAGGATAGTGCAGTAATGCACTATCCAGGGGTGAAACCATTACACTATCAGGTTTTTTTGGGTTTCAGAAAAGGGTCCTACTACACTACAGCCCAGGGAAAAAAATTTGGAGGTAGTGTAGCGGTCAAGTAGCAGCCAAGTAGCAGCCAAGCAGCTGGGTGCATTTCACTACTCAGATACACTGCATAACGCAGCGTAAAGTAGCAACCCAGTGTTGCTTGACTGCCTTGCCACAGTTGTCCTTCTAACCCCCTTCAGGCCTGAAACACCACAAGGTATGTATTTGATTCAACCCCAAAAATGCTTGTTGACTTCTGATCAGCTTACCCCAATTTTGATTTTTATCAAATGATCTAGATTGTGTTGTCTGGAACACAAAAGCACTTGGAAACGTACAGTCACCTACCACTACCAGATGTTTATAGCCAGCTTGTGTGGATGACACGGTGTCACAGCCCTAACCCACCAACTTGAAACCATGAGACTTGAGCAAGTGGTATAAAAGAGGTTTCAAAAAATAATTCTGAAAACAAAAATATGAGAAACTGATTTTTAAAATTTGCAAAAAATATTACAATTATTGCACTTTTTTCAAAGGGCCTTAATATAAAAACCCGGTTTTTCCGCGTTTTGACGCGGTTTTGATGCGCCGCAGCACACGCGGTTTCCGCTTTTAGACGCGGTTTCGTAATTAATTTTTTATGGGTTATTTTTTGACTTTTTTTGGATTTTTAAAGTTGTTTCCTACACTATAAAAGGCGTAGAATTTAATGGTGCAATCCAATTTTTTTAAAACTCAACGGTTCATTTTTAATACTGAAATTAGACCCATTTTTTACTTAATTTTTTACAGCTTAATTCTCATCATTTTTTGACATTTTAAATTTATTTCCCACACTTTAAGACATGTAGAAAATGATGGTAACAACCATTTTTCCCCAAAATGAAAACTATACCTTGAATGCCGCATTTGACACGTTTTTTTTAATTAATTCATCACTTTTTCACTTAATTGTTTGCATACATGTGTGTACCTTATTTTCTATGCTTTTTTGAAATTTTAAAGTTTTTTCATACATTTAAAAGTGTTTAGAATTTAATGGTAACATCCAATTTTCTTGAAACTCAACAGTTCATTTTTAATACTGAAACTAGACACTTTTTTCAATTAATTCTTTACATGTTATTTCTCACTATTTTTTGACATTTTAAGTTTATTTCCCACACTTTAATACATGATAAAAATGATGGTAACAACCATTTTACATAAAAATCAGCGCTTGTTACTGAATACTGCAGTGGACAGGCTTTTTTTAATGTTTTTTTGATTGATTTTTACCGGCCTGATTTTAAGCATTTTTTTTTATTTTAAATTTATTTCCTACATTTACAAATGTTTAGAATTGAATGGTGAAGTCCAAATTCACTCAAAATACAAGCTTCAATCTTAATAGATGAGTTTACCCTGTTTCTTGCATAATTTGTACCATATACAAATTTTATTTGAATGCAAAATGGATACAGCCATCAATTCTGAAACCTTTAAAAGTGTAGGAAATGATCTTGAAATTCCGAAAAATAAGGATAATTGAGCGTGTAAGAATTAATTCAGGAAACACGTCAAAGGCATTATTCAAGATATAGTTTTCATTTTGATGAAAATTCATTGTTGCCATAATTTTATACATGTTTGAAAGTGTAGGAAACAAATTTAAAATGTCAAAAAATAATGAAAATTAAGCTCTTAAAAATCAATTGAAAAATATGACTAATTACAGTATCCAGAATGAACCGTTGAGTTTTATGGGAATTGAATGTTACCATTAGATTTTACACAATTTTAAATGTAGGAAACAACTTTAAAATTTCAAAAAAGCATAGAAAATAAGGTACACACATGTATGCAAACAATTAGGTGAAAAAGTGAGGAATTAATTAAAAAAACGTGTCAAATGCAGCATTCAAGGTATAGTTTTCAACTTGGGAAAAAATGGTTGATACCATAATTTTCTACATGTCTTAAAGTGTAGGAAATAAATTTAAAATGTCAAAGAATGATGAAAATTAAGCTGTAAAAAATTAAGTGAAAAAATGGGTGTAATTTGAGTATTAAAAGTGAACCGTTGAGTTTTAAAAAAATTGGACTGCGCCATTAAATTCTACGCATATTAAAACCTAGGAAATAAATTTAAAATTGTAAAAAAACATAAAAAATAAGGTACATACATGTATGCAAACAATTAATTGAGAAATGAGTGAAAAAAAATAATTAATAATCAAAATTCATTTTTATGAAAAATGGTTTTTACCATTAAATTCTACGCCTTTTATAGTGTAGGAAAAAACTTTAAAAATGCAAAAAAAGTCAAAAAATAACCCATAAAAAATTAATTACGAAACCGCGTCTAAAAGCAGAAACCGCGTGTGCTGCAGCGCATCAAAACCGCGTCAAAACGGGGAAAAACCGCGTTTTTTTATTAAGGCCCTTTTCAAAAGTCTTAAATATTGCTCCAAATAAATAAATAAAAATTGGAAAGAGTGGTATGGTCTGCAAGAGGAATGATAGTAATTAATGAAGAAAATCAACACCAGAAATCATATTTCAGAGCTCAGCATCCAGCTCAAATCACACTTTGAATTCAATAGCACTGCCTCTTCCACTGTATTTTCCACTGTGAGACTGATTAATGTCTCACTCCACACCAGTTTAAAACCATCTGGTAGTTAATTTATCAAAATTTTCATTCATTATCATTGTTCCAGCATACCATACTCCAATTTACAATTTTTTATTTTTTTTTTTTCATTTGAAGCAATATTATGACTTCTGAAAAAAGTGAAATGACTGTAATATTGGAGGACTTCCCGATGTGGTCATTATTCCTGTGTGTGAAGGGAGAAAAATTCAAAATTTTATTATTTACCAATGAAGGACTCAAGATATGGACAAATTGACGTCAGAAATGGAATCTACGGCCAATTTAACCCCTAGTCACTCACTGGAACCACCTTCATATCTCTACTGGATCAGAAGTTACACAGAATCAAGGATGTCACACGGAGAATCACAGGATCAGAGGCACTCAGCTGGAGGGTATATTGCATGGGGGTATATTGCATATTGCATATTGAATTCCTTTTATTCATATTGAATTCCTTTTATACTTACAGAACCACAAGTTGGCTACCAGTTGTACCAGTTAAATTCCCATTTATTCAGCCACAGAACACATGGATTCCTTTCTTACAGCTTGCATACAAAAGGGATGCATTGTAGATAGTCTAGCCAAAATCCCTCAGTATTTTCAGGTACAGGGCAGCTAAAATGCCTCATACAGGGGGTCCCTTGGGGCTAAAATCCCTCATATTTTACTATATAAGGAGGCCTCTGCCTGCCAGTTGTTTTCCTCCTCATCCCACTCAGTACACATTTTTGGTGGGACACCTGTCACCGATTTCACATATTTATTACACAAGAAGTTCACGAGTAGTACAGTTCACAGATTGAAATATATACACAGTTTCACAAACATTACACAGAAGAACCAGTCCTTTGTTCCAGTCCTGGTTGAAGCATAGTGCTCCCAGACCCTTTGGGTTCAAGAACCACCTCTATTACATTATACATATACAGCATCAAGGAAGAAAACAAGTATCAAGACATCAACACGAGAAACAACATCAACAACTAAATCAATTCTTTGGACAACAAGATCAACCTTCAACAATTATACAACCATCTTTGAACATAATCCATTATCACCAACCAAACTGCCAAGCTTACCTTGGTGGTCTTGTTTTCTGATAATATAGAAAGGCAGAGTTTGCAGCTCATTTCATCCCTTTCTCCATTCAGCAAAAAGGATCTTACAATCACTTTTTGAGTCTTACACCGTTGCGGTTTACAAACCTCCCAGAATTGAATTTACACCCCCTAAATCTTAATTTTTGGTATAAAATTGGTTTTTCAGAAGCCTTGCGATGATAGCTCTCATGTGAGCTGGTTAGAATTATGATTGGGGTGTTAATTCAGGACTGGGGAGGGCTTAAAAAGTACTCTAAATGGTGACGGGAAGTCCTCCATTTTTTTCAAATTTTAAAAATTAGTTTTTTCTTCAGAATCATTTTTGAAACACATTTTATACCACTTTCCCAAGTTTCATGTTTTCAAGTTAGTGTGTTGGGGTTGTGTTATCCAAAAAAACTGGCTATAAACACCTGGTAGGTGACTGTATGTACATGCATATCAGATTTGATTTCCAAGCATCCCCCCCCCCAATTGGTTGATCTCCATACATGGATAGGAGAGGGATATAAAGGAAGTTGACAAGTTGACTGATTGAGGCATGAATTTTGGGTCCAAAGGCCTAATAACAACAGTGAAATGATGTGATAGATAGCCATGTATTGGCATCACATCATTTTAGTAATGCACATCAATTTGATACCAATGCATCACATCAAGAAAGTGATGCATTGTATGGGCATCATATTAGAAAGCAATGCAAAATCACTGAATCAATGTGATGCCAATTCTCTGTGTCAAAGAATCTGCTGCAAGTGATGTGATGCGGTGCCCCTGCATAGCTCCCTTGATGTGATGCA